AATGGCTCCTTGTTACTCAGGATAATGATCGAGTCTACTCGATCTAATCTCTAACCATGTAACATGATTAACTTAGAAGAGTAAACTTATATTAGGCTTCTGCAACCTTGACCAGCAAAAAGTAATGAAACTCAAAAGGGCCTAGTCAGTACCTGATACATATACGGTGTTTACCTTAAACTGCAGCATTTCATTCTTATGATAGGTCACCTGCAGGCGGAGGGGATTCACTGGTGTGGAGGGCAAGGTGTTGGCAGAATTAGAAGACTTTAAGGAGATGTCAGCTGTGGCCCCATGTGAACTATACTGAACATCACTGACATCGTATAGATCAGTAACAAAATAGCAGAAAGGAGCCCCAGAACTGGATTCCTGAAATGTAAGGCAAAATTCATAGATCAGCATGTGCTCCTAGAATTATCAAATAAAAAGGGTTAGATAAGTCTATTTGTAGGGAGATAAAGCCCGACCACCACTCATTTGCTTGTAGTGTATATCATTTGGTAGTGACATTAATTTAAATTCCTGGTCTCTAAGCAAAATATTTATTCCAAGAAGTCCCACCCCTTGTCTCCACCTACTCTTCACATATATATTAGTTCCTTTGGAAGTCCTTTCTTTCTATGGATTTTAAGTAGTTACATAGATACTAGTGTATGCCCATAAAATTGCAAGTTAAGTGTAGAGAATTTTAATGTACATTATTAACACCATCAACATGGTTACCTTCCAGACACAGCCACGGGCCTCACAGTTTTCTGCAGAAATACCATCCTCATCAGGATAACAGTCTATTTTTTCTTCTTCCTTTATCTTTACATCCCACTCCACTGTGTATGCTTCTCCCAGGAGGAGATCAATTTCTTTGATAATGGCAACCTGTGAAAATGGGGAAGTCATTAGAAAGTTCCTCCTCAGGACAAAAGCCTTGCAAGATCTGAAGCTTTTAGTAAAAGAAATGGAAAAACAAAGTAACTCAACAAAGTAACGTACAACTGTGGCTTATATGAATGGAGCTGTATGGTGGAGAGAACTATTCGGTGGCAACAAGGGCAAATGTCACAACTATATCAGCATCTTGTACACGGCTTAGTGAAAAGAAGTAGGACAAATAAAGCCTGTTTTGATCACCCCTTTTCTTTCCTCCTCGGACTTCTCTTCCCTTGTATATTTTGTCAGGAAGTCTCTCCTGCACACTTCCCTTTGCAGCATAACACACACAAATACATAGTGTCATCCCAAATCGAGCTGACCTTCTTGCCATGCACTCCTCAAACCAATGTCCCCCATTGATCTAGAGTGGTGGAGTGAACACAGCAATAAGAATCATGTGAGAATCGTGTGGCCTAGGTTCTCATCCCTATTTTTCTGAGACCATTCTTTAGATCTCAGTTTTGTTGACTACAAAATTGGTGAGTTGGTAAAATCATCTGATTACAAGCTGTTCAGAAGTGTCAGGTCTCATTACAACTAAGGAGAAATTATTTTATTATTATCATCTAACAAAATAAGAAGCCATTAGCTAGTATTATCAAATTACTTTTCTTAAAATATTTCATAAAAATGTATGTGTTGGAGTGAGAGTCTGTATCTCTTAATACAGTTTTTAAAAATGCACTTTAAAATTTTGGTTTAATAGGACTCTACTTTCCACCTCTACCCTTCCACCATCAGCCAGCAGCTCTCAGATCCACTTTTCCTCTAATCCTGTTCCCCACTTTCCTGACTTTGCTCTTTTTATCTTGCATCTTTACTATTTCTTTGAAAGTGAAACCAGTCAGAGAGAACAGGACACTGAGGGGCAGAGAAGGCAGTAAGAACAGAATGACCTTTTTTCCTTATCCCCGTTCCTCAGCAGCTCCCCAGCTCATTCTGCCCACCTCATCACTTCTGTTTTCATAAAACCAGTCAGAGAGAACAGGACACTGAGGGGCAGAGAAGGCAGTAAGAACAGAATGACCTTTTTTCTTTATCCCCGTTCCTCAGCAGCTCCCCAGCTCATTCTGCCCACCTCATCACTTCTGTTTTCATTCTCAAACCACTGACTTTCTCACCACAGGCTTCAGAGCATACGCTGGTCTTTTAGAAATCCATGCAACCTTAGGAATACCATGATGCTATGGAAAATTTTTGATAAACCATCTCAACAAAATGGATTTTTACCTGCACATCAGAATCATAAGTGACTGTAGGAGAAGTTTGACTTAGGACACCATTGTGTTTCACTACAACATTGCTAGGTTCCTGTGTCCCAAGGATTTTAATCTCCTTAAATGATAAATTACTGGGGTCCTGGTAGTTTGATTGTAAAACTTTCACATCCAAGTAGTTCTGCAAAACAGTAAAGCACAAAGGTATGCCTGTAATACGTAGATTCTCGAGTCTCTCAAATATTTCATTCTAGACCAGATACTCCCCACTGCTTGTATGCCTCTTAGCTTTCCCTAGTAACATGTGCTTTAGGAGTATAAATTTATTTTAATAATCCCTGAGCAAAAAAAAAAAAAAATCAGAAACACACACTTTCTAAAACTATATCTAGAAACACTAGTTGCTTTAATTGTTTATATTATTGTCTTCTTTTGATACAACATGGATGATTCAATTATTGGGAGTTAAGTCATAAATAAAAATGTGCTCACCTATAGTCACAAATGTATATGAAGCTACAAATATAATCACACATATACCCAAACACATAACTGCTAAAGGTCAGGCAAAAGCCCACACCTAAGATTCATAAAAATATGTTACTCACTTGGGTGAAGGAAAACTCACATAAAATATAAGCATTATTAGCCACAGTATCTGAAAGCAAGAAAAAAACAAGTCAGACTCTGGCCTTCCCACCATAGAGCAACAGATTTCACCCTGCCTCTCCTTAATGCTGCATCTCTATGTTACAAATGTTAGGGTTTCCTTCTTTTTATAGCCAAATAATATTCCACTATATACACATACCACAATTTCTCTATCCATTCACCTATCGATGGACACTTAGGTTGTTTCCATATCTTGCTATCGTGAATAACATTGCAGTGAACATGGGGCTGCAGATATCTCTTTGACATACTGATTTCATCTCCTTTGGACATACACCCAGAGTGAGATTACTAAATTGTATGGCAGTCCTATTTTTAATTTTTTGAGGAATCTCCATACTGTTTTCTATAATGGCTGTACCAACTCATATTCCTACCAACTGTGTACAAGGGTTCCATTTTCTCCACATTTTGCCAACACTTATCTCTTGTCTTTTCCAAAATAGTCATCCTAATAGGTATGAGGTGATATCTCACTGTTGTTTTTGATCTGTATCTTCCTGCTGATTAGTGATGGTGAGCATCTTTTCATATAAGGTCATTAGTATGCCTTCATTGGAAAAACATCTATTCAGACTCTTTGCCCATTTTTTTTTTTTCCTTCTGACGGGTAAGGGGATCGCAGCCCTTGGTACAGTGTGGTCTGCACCTTGCTCAGCCAGCGAGTGCACCTGCCATCCCTATATAGGATCCAAACTCACGGTCTCGGCGCTACCAGCACCAAACTCTCCTGAGTGAGCCACGGGGCCGGCCCGTCTTTGCCCATTTTTTAATTGGGTTATTTGTTCTTTTGCTATTGAATTCCACGAATTTCCTGTATATTTTTTATATTGAGATTTGCTCAGATATATGGTTTGCAAATATTTTCTCCCATTCCTTAGATTGCCTTTTCCCTTTTTTGATTGTTTCTTTTGCTGTGCCGAAGCTTTTTAGTTTGATGTAGCTTCAGTTGTTATTTTTGCTTTTATTGCTTATGATTTTGGTGTCATCTCCAAAAAATCATCCTCAAGACAAATGACATGGAACTTTTTCTCTATGTTTTATTCTAGGAGTTTTATGGTTTCAACCCTTATGTTTAAGTTTTTAATTTATTTTTCACAATAGCCAAGATATGGAAACAACCTAAGTGTCCACCAACAGATGAATGAATAAAGAAATCATGGTACATATGTACAATGGAATACTATTTAGCTGTAAAAGGAAAGAAATCCCACCTTTTGCAATAACATGGATGAACCTGGAGAACATTATACTAAATGAAAGAAGCCACACACAGAATGACAAATACTGCATAATCTCATGTATATGTGGAATCTAAAAATTTGAACTCACAGAAGCAGAGAGTAGAATGGTAGTTGTCAAGGGCTGGGGAATGGGGGGAATGGGAAACGATGGTCAAAGGATACAAACTTTCAGTTATAAGATGAACAAGTTTTGGGGATCTAATGTACAGCACGGGTGGTGATGGATGTGTGAATTTATGGTGATCATTACACAACATATACATATATCAAATGATCACTTCGTACACCTTGAATATATTCAATCTTTCTTTGTCAATTAAATACTTTAAAATCAAATGAATAAATAAATAAAGCCACATCTTGAAAATGACAAGATTATGAACAGAGTCTCCAAAGTCAAGCCACTGCTTCTCCTTCCTACCATAACCTTGAAAAGATTCCCTTCCACGTGCTTCCACAGTATATGCTTCAAGGACATCTATTTCCTAAGCCTGAGCCACAAGAATTGTTTATATACTTGAGCTAG